GAAGAATGCCAAAAAATTCCCATCAGGTTTTAAATATCAGCTTCTAATTTAGCCACATTTCTGATCATAAGTTACTAAATCTTGTCAAGTTTCAGCTAGGACAAATAGTAACTATTCCTGACAGCATTAAACAACTCCATTAATTTTTCTTTTTTAATTTTAGTTTCCGCTTGACTGTTTTAAGAGTAGCAGTTTCCCAGAAAATCTCTCAGAGTCTTGTTAACCCTGGGAGGGCCTCATATTGGGTCCTTCTTGAAACGTAGATTACAGGGGTGTCTGTAAAGCCATGGCTTAATAAGCGACTTCTTAAATGATTTTACCTAAATGGAACATTCCTTCTAATAGCCAATGTAAAGTTTTGGAGGCTCAAAGGAGCCCCAAAAGTGGCCACTGTAATTTTAAATTATCCGGGTTATCTTGATCCAAAGATTCTTTCCTTTTTGCAGTAAAGATCATTTTTATAGCTGTTTTTGAAGTCAATTTGACCATTTTAAAGTGAGATCTCCTTTACCATGGTTAATTAAAATTGCCTGAAAGGTGAATTTATATGCCCTCACAGTATCAGGCAAAGGAAACGTTTCTCAGTGAGATAGAATATTTATCCCCACAATATAATTTGAAATACAATCAGACAGGGGCCAGCCCTGTGGTCTAGTGGTTACGTTTGGTGTGCTCTGTTTTGGTGGCCTGAATTTGGTTCCTGGGTGCGGCCTTACACCATTCAGTAGTGGCCATGCTGTGGTGGCAACCCACATACAAAATAGAGGAAGATTGGCACACATGTTAGCTCAGGGCAAATCATCCTCAGCAAAAAACGAACAAAAAAACAATCAAACATTAGAGATGTAATCACTTTTATACAAAGCCCATCATTCCTGGCTGGTCTTCTTGGAAGAAGATTAGCGCAATGATAAAAGCAAAAACCCTCAACAGCTGTTTCACCTGCTTCTGTCACCACCTCCAAACCTCCCACTGAGGCATCTTGGCCTCAAAGGTCGGGTGACCCCACTTGTGACCTGGAGTGATCAGGCATCCCTGATGTTTCTCCCAGTCCACCCCTCACAGACTGGTACTGGTCTTGGGGAAAGGGGCTCCCTGAAGGGACGGGCGAAACCATTCTAGGGAGAGAGGCCTCCTTGGCTGTTTCCTGGGAAGAGGGGCTCCCTCAGTCCAGTTCTGGGGAGGAGCCCCTCTTCTCCCTCAGTCGTGCCTGCGTGCATACACTGTGTTCTGATGCCAAACCAAAGGTAAACTTTATGTTGGCTCATGGGAAATCCCCCTTGATCCGAAGGAAGTGGCAGAAAACAAACGTCTAGGTGTGGCTGCAGATGCCAGTTCAGTAAGAGTCATTGAGGAGAGTCTGGCAGTCAAACACTGGGCAGGACAGTCCTGGTTTCCCTCCTGTTCACGAAGCCTCCTGCAACATAGGTGAGTCAGCTGGGGACATGCTGCTGCAGGCCATTGCTCCACCTGTTGGGAGCTGAGAGGCCAGAATCAGGGAGAGGAGACAGCAACTATTCCAGTCGCGGCAGAGTCGCCAGATTTTGCTACCAAGCCCTATGGAACTGTGACCTGCAAGTGGGTCCTCTTGCCTGGAGCTGCTCCCACCATTAGGCAGAGACTGAGTTTGAAATAGCAGGCAGAAACTATTTGTTGTTCAAGAAGTATGGAGAAGGAGAGCTTGCGTTCTAAAACAGCTTCTCCTCGTGAAGTGGGGAGGGGTTTCCACGTCACCACTTGGTGTGGGGACGTTTGGGGCATGCTCAGATCTTCCCTTCTTGCGTGCGGCACCGTTTGCACACTTTTCATTTTGCCCAGGGCATTGCATTGCCGTCTTGGACGTTTCTGGTTCGGACTGATTGCAGTTTGACTGTCTAGCAGTGTTCTGCCTTGGTTCCTCAACTTAAAAACAAAGCGTTAGACATGAAAATTGTTTTAGAGACTTCTCTTGGTAACACTACTCTTTCCTTCACATACTCTATTTTTGTCATGATAATTATTTGCAGGGATGACAGTTACTCGCGCTGCCCCACAATAAAAAAATCCCACATTCATCTCATACAAACTTGGATGAAGAAAATTTAATGTGAAGTGATGGTGTAATGGACTTTGAACCCCTCAGTGGTAGAGGAGACAGCTCAGTCTGAAAAAGTGAATATAAGAGTAAAATGTCTAGGGACCAGCCGGGTGGCACAGCAGATAAGTGCACACGTTATGCTTCGGCGGCCTGGGGTTCCCCGGTTCAGATCCCGGGTGCGGACATGGCACTGCTTGGCAAAAGCCATGCTGTGGTAGGCATCCCACGTATAAAGTAGAGGAACATGGGCACGAATGTTAGCTCAGGGCCAGTCTTCCTCAGCAAAAAGAGGAGGATTGTAGCAGTTAGCTCAGAGCTAATCTTCCTAAAAAAAAAAAAAAAAGAGTAAAATGTCTAAAGTATTATGTAGTTTACTAATCATCATATTGATCCATTACCCTATTGCATCTAACTGCAATGAGTATATTTGTATATATAATTTTTTCTTTGAATTATTTTGTAAGGACAAATTTCCTGGTGTGGTATTCACAGGACTTTTAAAATTGTTTTTTAATAAATGTTCCCATATGTTTGAAAATTATTTATGCTGCTCACTTTACCAAAATCTAGCTAGATTATTTTATTATTTAAAGTATTAAAATTATAATTGCTTCCTTCTTAACTTGAAATTTCTAAGTTGAGGTGAATTCTTGCTTTTCAACTTTACCGCTATGATTCTTTTTTGTGTGTATGATATTTAAAGAAATATGACCTTTATCACCCTTCTGTATGTGTGGAGAGCTGGATTTCTTTCCATTTGTTAATGTGTAATGCATGTCTCAGAGATATGTAAGTTTTACTCTTTGGGTTCTAAAATCATTTAATATGTCAAGTCCTGAGAATATTTCTAACTCTCTGAAAATGATCGAATCTGATAAGAATCTATTTTTTTTCCTCCCAGCATTACCCACCAGAACAATTCAGACTTTTTATAGATAGTAATGTCAGTGTTCCTTTGGTAATGAATATTTAAAGGAACTCTCTTGGAAATTAATTCTAGAAGAGGTGATTTTTATTATATTTTTACTCTAGATACTGATCCTTGCACTGGATTCCAACTTGCAATATACTTTTTTAAAAAATAGGAGTCTTCAGGTCACTTTAGGAAAAATTAGCATTTTTCTCTACTTTTTTTGGATTTAAAAAATTATCTTTTGATGTTGATTATTCCTTGATGGGACTGAAAAAACTTGCTGAATAGCTGACAAACCTCTGTAACCTGTAAGTAGGTAGATACATTTCTAATACTAAGCTGTTTTTAAAGTAGAGAGTTCTGAGAAATAAGAAGTCCTTGCTGTCAAAATGCACAAAGATAGACATTCTGAAAGAATTGCTGAATCATTAACGTAAAGCTGCTTGGCATATGGAGTAGGTGTTCCCATAGCTTTAAAGGTTAACACGTGATCACCTTTTCATTATACTCTAGACATATATGTGCATTTACTTTTCTTCATAAATGTTCCTTTTTCTTTTAACTTTACAGATTTAAGATATTTAAGTAAAGGGCTCTGTGCATTTCTTTTGACATTTTCTTTTTAATCCATCTTTCCAATATTAGAAAGGGAACATTTTTTAAAAGATGAGTTATATACATTGAAAATATTTCTCATAAATATCCAAAATATTTATAAAAAATCATCAAAAGGCTATGCAAATGATATATCAACTTTGTTAATAAAAAGACAAATACAAAACTACAACAAATAACCATAAATATTCATAGAAAAAAGATTAGAAGGAAATGCACTAATATTTAGCAGGGATTACTGGAAGTGGTATGATAGCGGGAGGTTTTTATTTTATTCTTTTTTGTTTCTGTGTTTTTCAAGATCTTCGATGATGAGTATTTATAATTAGGAAAAATGTGTTTTTAAAAGAAAAAATATTTTTCATATTACTGCCCCATAAATAGCATATCCAGATTTTAAGATGAACCAGTTAAGGTCTTAGGAGAAACATGAGTATTTACTTTCTGTAACCTGACACTTGTCTCCTCTTTCCTGCTGCACAAAAATTCTTTAAATAGTGACCCTAGGAATGGGGTGGGTCTCATTCTGTTTTACTTGAAGTAGCTAAAATCAGACATGAAGCTTTCACAAATTTGAGTTTGCCAGAACTTAAGGACTCTTGTATGCTACAGAAACTAGTTAAAATCATTAGCTAAAATCATATTTAGGTCCTTTACTTATTTTAAAATATTGCTTTTGATGTTTATGATATATAACCTTTTACAATGTGAAATTGGTATGTTGACTTCCTAGCATTTCTGATTGATAGACCTCAGGAATTTTGAAAATGACACAAATTATTTGAGATTTTTAATTTAAACAAACTAGTATTGTATATTTTATATTTGAATATCTTGAAACTGAAATACCTAAAATAAGTTCAAGGGTACTTTTATTTGTATAATAACTTTAACTTATTTTAACATAGGATACTTAATGGTTATAATTATTTTTGTTGCTTTTTCACCTAGAATAGAAGAAATAAATGTGTAGGTATGACTTTCTATGCTGAAATACTGGTTTCTTAAGCCACTTGGCCTCTTAAAAAGGAAATAAAAATGGTAGAGCCACAAGGAAAATGAATAGTTAATCGTGGAGGAGGAGAAAACCTAGCTCAGTACTTTGACTAGAGGCAGCAGGGGAAATGACGTCCTGTAGCATTTGCTGTTCTAGAAAGTACAGAGACACGTAGTGAAAATGGGAGGATCTAGAAGGAGGCCGTCTCCTGTGTAGTGTATATTTATCTGTAAGTGAGCTGTTGGGGAAGGAATTAAATACAGAGACGCTGTCGGCTTGCTGCCTTCAGACAGCGAAGCTGAATTGCTGATTTGCTTTAACTTTTGAAATACCCAGCTTGGTTTATTTTTCTTAGAATCGTATTGCTAAGACTGGGAACGCTGTTTTCTTTCACAAAGGGAAATCTAAGTTCATTTCAAGGCATTCGAAATGGGGAAAGACTATTATGGCATTTTGGGAATTGAAAAAGGAGCTTCAGATGAAGATATTAAAAAGGCTTACCGAAAACAAGCCCTCAAATTTCATCCAGACAAGAACAAATCTCCTCAGGCAGAGGAAAAATTTAAAGAGGTCGCAGAAGCTTATGAAGTATTGAGTGATCCTAAAAAGAGAGAAATATATGATCAATTTGGGGAGGAAGGTAAGTATTCTGTGTATATCTTTCTCTCTCCAGCTCTGTGTCGTTCTCTCTTTCTCTTTTTCTTCCCTTTCTCTCTTAGCCTTCTGGTTATCATTCAGTTAAATTCTCAGGCATATCAAAAGTAGAAAGACAAATAATGGATAAAAATGAGATTTCAGCCCTGATCATATGAATGAATGTTACATAGCTGTGAATGAAATGTACTTGTTTGCCTTTTTTTGGATTTGGACATTTTGTAATACAAATATTCTACCATTAGATTTATAATGTTAGCACTGTATATTTGAAAAGAAACCTTAAATTCCCATACCCATTAATGAATTGTGTCAAAAGTCTTATGCAACCTGTTTTGTTTTCTAGTGAATTTTCTGCCAGAACCAATAAAGATCCTTCAGTCATTTAAAATTTTAAGATTGGCAGTTCAGATTCTGGGTAGTGTATATTTTATTCACGAAAACAAAAGAAGTTTTTTGCCTTTCTTTTAGCAAAGCTAGCTTAGACTGAACAAGACAGATCGTCTCTCTGAGAAGCAGAAGGCCCAGGCATTTAGCTCTAGTTGTTTTTGGCATTCTGCCTGGAGAGGAAAGAATTTTCCTGATGTCATAAAATACCAGAACAAGTTTTTAGCTTAATTGTAAACAGTAATTGTGTGCCAAGAAAATGAGATCTCAGAAATACAATTTTTGACCTAAAATGGCCACCTAGTTAGAACAATTATTGATTTAGTTTTAGGTAATTATTTCTTTTGAAATTTTACTATCTAGGTATAAAGGAAAGGTGACAACTTCCCTTTCCTCTCCCTGCCATACTTTTGCCTCTTGCATTATGAGATCGAAAACTAGTTCAATACAGTGAATAAGGGTTAATTTCAAATTATCCTTTTATCATTCTGGATTCTAGACTAAGTTTGTCCATCATTTCCATATAAATAGCTATAAAGTAAGACTATTTTAAATTGCTAATTAACAACAACAACGAAAACTAATTCCTACGAGTTCTGTGATTTTCAACTTTTAAAATCAGGACTAAGTTATTTTATTATTATTTTTCTCCCAAAATGTTCTCTTTTAAATCATTGTAGTTATGAAAACATTTCTTTTCTTCCTTTATCGCATTTAATGTTGAAGTTTCGTAATTAGAAATATATCCTAAAATCCAGTGAAGCAATGACTGCTTATTTTGAGTTAAAATGTTAAATGTAGATAAGCAGGGTGATTGTGTTAAAGGGGTTTTGTTTTGTTTTTCTTTTTGATCTGAGTGGCCAAAAATTGCAGTTTCTGCCGCTGATTTTGGTGTGATGAGGACCTGCAGTGTCAGATTCTTACAGAGTAAATATTGAAAAAGGCAAATAGTGGGCAGTTCAGTCCTGCTTGTTCCTTATGACCATACTATTCAAAATACTATGATTTGGTTCATCTCAAAAGCTAAGTAGGATTCTGAAATATTACTAATGTACTATTCTTTCTGAAGAAGTTATTTTGTAATTTTGTGAAGAGATCCACAAAGGTGGAGTAACACTATAAATTCCCATGAAGCAGCAGATATCTTCTGCTTTAATCCACATCTCACTGATAGCTCAAGTCTGTCTATTGACTAAGCCATAGGATTCGGTGTTTACTGAGGATATTAGTCTTCAGAATTTTCAAGTCACCAAATGATATATTTTTCTTGGTTTAACATTACCTCTTATTTTTCTTCAGATGTTTCTCCAGTTTGACTTTTACTAATCATCAGTGAGTGAATTTTTTAAAAAACTAAAGCAGGATCATCTATGTACCCTGATTCCTTTTTTTGTTCTTGACTCAGATAATTGATATAAGCAATAGAGATAATAGTGAGGGGAGAATAAGTTTTTTAAAGCATTGAAATATTCAGAAATATCATGCTCTAGTTAAAAGTTACTTGAAAATCTAGTTAAGTGAAAGTTATTTGATTATTTTTTAGGAATTATTCTTCTTTTACAGAAAAACATCATATTTATTTGCCTTTTATTCAGAATATCTCATTAATTCTTAAAAAAAAAATCCCCTTCAGGTATACTGTGAAAATGTAGGAAAACATTTTTTCTCTTTGCCTTTCATTGATCTGTTTGTGCCTGCAGACCTTGTTTCTCCAGTAATAACAAAACATTGAATTTTGAGACTGTGGAGCCATTACTAACATACCTGATACACTTTTTTTAACCCATTATTATACTCTCTTTCAAGGCCTGGGACAGTGGGAATAGAGAACCATGAACTGAGAAGTGTATTAGTTGAACAGTTTATATTTAGGAACTAAAACAACCAGTGATCCAGTTTATTCATGTTTTAAAAATCTATAATATCCACAATTTTAAATGAGGGGTTTTTAAAAAGTGAGATCAACATAGAAATGTTTTAAATTTACCATATGACCCAGCAATTCCACTTCTAGAAATCTATAAAAGAGAAATGAAAATCTAGGTCCACGCAAAGACATGGACGTGAATGTTCATAGCAAAATTATTTTTAATGGCGCCAAACTGGAAACAATCCAAAAGTACCATCATTCAGTGAATGGATAAACAAAATGTGGTGTATATATCTGTGTGTGTACACATACATACACCCGTATATACACACAAAGGAATACTACTTAGCAATTAAAGGGACCAATTTAATGAAACATGGTACAACATGAATGAACCTCAAAAACTATGCTCAATAAAAGAAGTCAGATGTAAAAGACTACATATTCCATGATTCCATTTATGTGAAATGCATGGAAAAGGCAAATTTATAGAGAAAGAGAGCAGATCAGTGGCTAGAGGTTAGAGATGGGACCAGGGATTAGTTACAAATAGAAACTAGAGAACTCTTTGGGTTAATGGAAATGTTCTATGACTAGATTGTGGTGATGGTTGCACAGCTCTACAACTTTACTAAAATGATTGAATTGTATATTTACAATGGGTTGGTTTTATAGTATCTAATAAATAAAGCTATTTTTAAAGACAGAGAAATTTTCTCCATAGTTCAATCATTTGAAAACAAAAAATACAGAACTACGGATATTTAAAATTGGATTTTGAACTAGCCTCTCCCCAAAAATTTTAGTTTGTTTCTTAATTGTTCAGTGGATGTCAAGAGAAGTTTGTATTAAAACACTAAAAAAAAAGATTTCAATAACACATCCTTACAGTATCCTAGTTCTCTAACATTTCTTTATGCTATTTATTGTTTATGGTTTACTCAATAACTTATTTTAAATCCTAAAAGGTCGTATTTATATGGTCAAACTTGTGTTTAGTATGTTAATCTTTATACTAGCTTGTGTCTTCTTTTCTTTAATTTATATATTTAATCAGCTGGATCTCTTTTTGTTTACTATGTATTTCTAAAAATAAGTAAATTGGATTTTTGTGAATCGTAGCTGTTTAAAGGATCTCATTATGCTAGCATCCCTGTAAGTTTTGGCTGTAAATCTGGAGTTTTACATAGCAGATCTCCTTAAAGTAAGAGTTATTGAAGTCTTATAATTTTTTCTTTGAAATCCTAATTCTTCTCTAATGCTGCTGGTTTGGATAAACTTTTAGTCAACTAATTAGTGGAAATATCGTTATGGAGAGTATCCCAAACACGTTTGTTTTTGAATTGCAAATTGGTTGATTGCTTGGTTGTTTTTTAAATAATAGCAGCCTTGTTATAGCATAGGCAAATGTTGATTCTAGAGTACATGCCTTAATTACATAAAGTGATGATGGTGTCTAGAAAACATTTTGGATAGCAGAGGGAATCTAGTTGAATATTAAAATGTTCCATGAGTAGTATGTATGTGAAAATGTATGTAATAAAGAGTTGACTTTATAGTTTATGAAATGCCTGTTACAATTCAAGTGTAGGCAATGCAAGTAATACTTGCATTGTAATTCATAATAGTTCATGTTATATTGGTATGAATTTTGGTAGGATTTTCTGTCACTATAGTATGCTGCCCTTTATCTGAGCTGTGTAGTTGACCGTTTAGTCTCAAGGAAGACCTCAGAGATCCTTTGGAGGCTTTTTGTCAGCTTTGATAAATGTCACTTGAGACAGTGTGTGAATCTTCTCAGGGGCTCTGTAATCCTGACTGAGTTACCATTTTTGGCAGAGGAGGGAAGGGGTTTAGGGAAAAGCCAAACCCATGATGTAATAACTTAAAATGCAAGTCTTTCTTTTCATGAATCTATTGTGAGTCCAAAACATTTGGGTTTTGTCTTATAGAGGGCTATACTCAATTTACTTTATTAACTCCCTATTAAATTATTGTACTCTATTATATATGTGGGGTGAAAGATGAAATGATTGAAATAATTTAAACATTGATTTAGTCGCAGTAGTCATGACCTTGAGTTATATACATACCCTATCATTTAAAAAAATCTATCACTAGTTTTTTTTTTTAATATTTGGAGGTATAACTATACCACTAAAATTTATAAAAAGATATTTTGGATGAGTTCTTGTCCTGCTTGTATTTTTCGTTCTGTTTCTACAAGGAATATCCCTAACTGCTATTTGGATATATCTCTCAATTGCGTTTTGACAATTTTCAGATTATTAAATTTCTCTTGATCTCTCTAGATTTTTATTCATGGATGAAGGTAAAAATTTAAACATTAGCTGAGACTGTTGGATGAAATAGAGTACACGTATACTTTTTAATGAAAGAAGCCAAATAGAATAAGACATGCAAAACTAAGCCTGTTTGAAAGCATGCTGAGTGATTCCAGTAGAATTTTTTATTGTTAAATCTCTCATATATATGTGGGATTATACTTTATATTGCTTTTGCTTCTTCCTCTTCTCAGTCCTGATACTCAAGACACCTTTTAAAGTTTCTATTGAAGGGACTTTAAGAATTAGTTCATTCCGTCTATTCAATAAACATGAATGCCTATCGTTTTTAGCCCTGTATGCATGAGCAATGCAAAAATGAATAAAATGTATTTCCTGCTCTCAAGTTACTCATTGTTTGAACATATTGAAATTTCTTAGTTTAATCTCTGGAATTTTTCACAATTTTAAAATTTTTAGACTCTGTTCCTGCTTGTTTCCTTGGTCAAGGAATGCCCATAAGGCTCATTCAGAAACTTTGCTGATACTGTAATGATATAAATCCTTGTCAGTATTGATCTCTTAAAAGATCACTATACTAGTGTTTTGTGGGTTTTAGTAGAATCTTTCTTTGGTATATAGTGGAAAATGCTGCTTCAAATATGTAATTTCTTTTGAGCTACATATTACTTAGTTGAGCCTTAGAGAACGTGGTCCAAGAGTCACTGTCTTGGTGTTTGAAGCAAGTTGTCTGCAATAGACAGAAATAACCAGTCCAAAGGCCTTACATGTCAAGAGGATTTGCAGCACTTGATTTCAGTCTTCTTTTTACTTCTGTTGAAATTAATGCTATCACATAGTATGCCTAGATAAACAGTTTTGTTATCTAAGATAGGGATAACAACTTTAGTGTCTAAGAAAACATTTTTCATAGTGTCCTATTATTAGGATATTTTCCTCTTGTCACAGAAAGAATTCTATTTTAATTCTTAAACAGTAAAAGATCTGAAATAAAGCTAGTTAGTATAAATATGATATTTTATGTTATAGATTATGCTCATTGATTATAATGATACTTAAAGATTTAGGTTATGCATTTTGCATTGAAGACCTTTTAATTGACGTCTTTTAAAAACTTAGATTTATATACTTCAGATTGTCAAACCAGTAGCTTTTGAGATAAGAGGTTCCCAATTTTTATTTATTTTCTTATTTACCTGTGGAACAAAGATTCAGAAGTAAATTATCCCTTAAAGATGGGGATTTGGAGGAAGATTTTGAAAGCTAAAAGTTTAATTTAGGATGGAATGATCAGAAGTTATGTAGCTATTCTGTATTTAGTTATAGTGGCATTTCTGGCCAACGTTAGTAAATTGCAACCTAAGTTGGCCAAAGTTTATTAGTAATACAATTTTTGAAAGTTTAACTTTCAAGAGTTGCAAGGTTTTTTCTAATCATGCTTATCTCTTCATTTAGGGTTGAAAGGAGGAGCAGGCGGTACTGATGGACAAGGAGGTACCTTCCGGTACACCTTTCATGGTGATCCTCATGCCACGTTTGCAGCATTTTTCGGAGGTTCCAACCCCTTTGAAATTTTCTTTGGAAGACGGATGGCTGGTGGTAGAGATCCTGAAGAAATGGAAATAGATGGAGATCCGTTTGGTGCCTTTGGATTCAGCATGAATGGATATCCAAGAGACAGGAATTCTGTAGGGCCATCCCGCCTCAAACAAGATCCTCCAGTTATTCACGAACTTAGAGTATCGCTTGAAGAAATATATAATGGTTGTACCAAACGGATGAAGATTTCTCGAAAAAGGTTAAACCCTGATGGAAGGAGTTATAGATCTGAGGACAAAATTCTCACCATTGAGATTAAAAAAGGGTGGAAAGAAGGCACCAAAATTACTTTCCCAAGGGAAGGAGATGAAACACCAACTAGTATTCCAGCAGACATTGTTTTTATCATTAAAGATAAAGATCACCCAAAATTTAAAAGAGATGGATCAAATATAGTTTATACTGCTAAAATTAGTTTACGAGAGGTAAGTTAGTAGGACCTAGGATTCTGAAACCAAACAGAATTATACATCTGATTTTAGGGAATTTAAATAATAGCTAACATTTATTTAATGCTTACTACACATTATTTTATTTATTTATTTATTTTAAAGATTTTATTTTTCCTTTTTCTCTCCAAATTCCCCCGGGACATAGTTGTATATTTTTAGTTGTGGGTCCTTCTAGTTGTGGCATATTGGATGCCACCCTTAACATGGCTTGATGAGCAGTGCCAGGTCTGCGCCCAGGATCCGAACTGGCAAAACCCTGGGCATCCGAAGCAGAGCACGCAAACTTAACCACTCCGCCATGGGGCCAACCCGTACACATTATTCTTTAAATTCTCTTAAGAACCCTCTGAGGTAGTACTACCTGTTAGACCTCTTTTATTTTATGGATGAGATTGTATTTTCTAAGTTTAGTTACCTATACTAAAAATTTAAATGGCAATTTCAAGTGCTAATTGGATTATGTACTATGAGGCCTAGTACTGGGTTAACTCTACTCTGTTTTTATAAGTCTGGTTTATGAGATTTTGCATTGTAATCTCATCACCTTAGTCCACGTATGAGACTTTTTCCAAAATTGTTAATTTGGAATAATTAACAAAAAAAGTATTAAAAAAGAAAATAACTTATAAGGGTACTGCTTTAATACATGAGTTCTTATTTGTTGTGTTTTTAGGCACCATTTCTCAAATTGGATTATAATCCTGCAAATATGGCCATGTCAGTTCCCAGCTTAAAATTCTTTTTTTTTTTTTTAAGGATTGGCACCTGGGCTTGTTTGTTGCCAATCTTCTTTTCTTTTTTTTCCTGCTTTATCTCCACAAACCCCACCCCGTACTCAGTTGTATATCTTAGTTGCATGTCCTTCTAGTTGTGGGATGTGGGACGCCGCCTCAACATGGCCTGATGAGCGGTGCCATGTCCACGCCCAGGATCCGAACCCTGGGCCACCGCAGCGGAGCACGCGAACTTAACCACTCAGCCACGGAGCCGGCCCCTAAAATTCTTAAATAACTCCACATAGTATCTACCATAAAGTCTAAATTATTTAGCTTAAAATAAAAGGTCATGTTTAGTTTGATTTCTAACCATAAATGTATGTGCATTTCCCTAAGTTTGCTGTGTCATTATCTGAGCTCTACTTGCTGCAACACTTGTTTCTCTCTCTGCCTCAATACCCGCCACTGGTCCAGTGCTTAGCTCAAGCATTCTGTACTCCTAGAAGCTAAGGGAGTAAGTGGGGCGCCCTTTCTCTCACAGAAGACTTCTGCACATACCTCTATGCCAACAGTGTGCTGTATTATAATTACTAGTTTGCTTCTGAGTTCCTTGTGGATTCCTGGAGGTGAGGTCTGTGTTCATGGTCCCTGTATGCCCAGTATCTAGCAGGAATGTGTGGCATATAGTAGATACTCAGTAAACATTTGTTGACTAAAACAATAAATGTTCTTCTAGGGGCCGGCCTGGTGGTGCAGCAGTTAAGTTCGCATGTTCCGATTCTTGGCGGCCCGGGGTTTGCCAGTTTGGAACCCGGGTGTGGACATGGCACCACTTGGCAAAAGCCATGCTGTGGTAGGCGTCCCACGTATAAAGTGGAGGAAGATGGGCATGGGTGTTAGCTCAGGGCCAGTCTTCCTCAGCAAAAAGGGGAGGATTGGCAGTAGTTCGCTCAGGGCTAATCTTCCTCAAAAATAAAAAAAGTTCTGACATTATCCCTCCAGGGAAGTAGGTAGTTGCTCCTATCCTGTTCTTTCCAGTCCTGAATTTCTCCCTCTTCTTCTCTCCCCCCCAACCCTGCATCTTGAGTGTTGTAATAGCAGCCTCAGACTATCCATTTCACTCCAGGGCAACATGAAAGACATCCTTACTTCTCTTTCCCTTTTCCTTTCCTTCCCCTTCTCCTTTCTTTTGTATGTCCTGAAGGGATTTTCTAATGAGGAAAAAGTCTTATAATTATTGATATTCTTTTGGAGGTTAAAAATTTACCTTAGTGGTAGCATCTTTTATACCTGGTGGTATTTTTGTTTAGACTTTTAAGTTTTGGAGTTTATTAATTTTATTTCGTTCATTCTAGGCATTGTGTGGCTGCTCAATTAATGTGCCAACAATGGATGGAAGAACCATACCTATGTCAATAAATGATATTGTGAAACCTGGAATGAGGAGAAGAATTATTGGATATGGGCTGCCGTTTCCAAAAAATCCTGACCAACGTGGTGACCTTTTAATAGAATTTGACGTTTCCTTCCCAGATGCTATATCCTCATCATCCAAAGAAGTACTTAGGAAACATCTTCCTGCCTCCTAGAATGAAAAACTTTGTTACCCATATTTTGATAAGGCACTGAAAATATAAAAGGACTGGCTATTTACTGTTGTAGATGTGAATTCTGTATAAAGACATGTAAATTATTTTGAGGGTTCATTAAATTGCATGAATAGAGACGGGTCAAATAAATAGGCAAAAGGGATTTTTACAGTTGGAGATGAAGAGAAAACCATTCACTGTATTTTATTTCATTTCTCCCAAATCAAAAATTTTTAGTATTTTGCTTACATGTAAAATTTGTTTTTGTGGAGTTAGTAAATATATTTCTAATAAAGTACTAGACTTATATCTTTACGTTATCAGTATGATAGGTTCTCATTTATAATGGAAATTTAAATTCTCAACTGAACTACACATGTGATATGTATTTCTGGAAAATAAAACCCCAAGTCATTTGGAAATGTGGTTAACTAGATTTAAATCACCATCTGAAATGCTGTTATAGGGCTGGTATCCATAAAAGAATATCCTAATGCATATGTTTTACCATTTTGATTTTTAAAGTATTCTGTAGCATTTCTTAAAAACATAGCTGTAAAGTTCTTAAGGCAGACCTTTTCTTCATAAAAAGGAAATTAATGGTAATTTATCTCCTGTGGAAATCCCAGTTGCCTGAATTACTGATATTTTAGAAGTAGGCTGTTTTTAAAATGCCATATGTAATTTTATGCAAGTTGACTATATATCTTGGACTTATAAATTATAGGCACATTTTATTGTCCACTAGTTTAAAATAATTTGTTTAAAATTGTGTTTTTAGAGGAAATATTGTTATGTGGAATTAATTTTCCAATTAAATAGTCTTCTATAACTTACTCATAATAATCTATGTGTACCTTATGCAATTTCCCTAAAAATAATAAACTACCACTATGGTGTTAAACCAAAATACGGGGAAAATAAACACTAACTGCTGCTTATGAATGATGTTGCTACTACTTGTTATGCATATAAATATTTTACTTTTTCATATGTATAGATTGCATTTCTTAGGTGTTTTAATTTTTTAAATATATTTACGTTTAAAAAATTGTTTTGTTTTGTTTTATTACTGTAGCGAGAATGATGTTTCAAAACAAAGTCTTTAGTTCAAAAGTAACTTTCAGGATGATTGTTATATATACACAAGGTATACTGGATCCTATTACCTTTTAGCAGGATATGAAGTCTTATTCTTTTAGAAATTCAATAAATAGGTTTTACTCACCATATACTTTATAGCTTTATTGAGATATAGTTCACATGCCATAGAGTTTACCCTTTTAAAGTGTATAATTCAGTGATTTTAGTATGTTTACAGAGTTGTGTGACGACTTTCTAATTTCAGAACATTTTCATCACCCTAAAAAGAAACTCTATATCCTTTAGCATGCGCTCCCAATTCCTCCATCTACTGGCAAACACTAATCTACTTTCTGTCTCTGTGGATGTATCTCTTCTGGACATTTCATATAAATAGGATCAAACAATATGTGGCTTTTTTGTTTGGCTTCTTTCACTTGCATAATGTTTTCAAGGCACACCTATGTTGCATTGTGCGTCAGTACTTCATTCCTTTTTTATGGCTGAATAATATTCCATTATATGGATATACCACATTTTGTTTATCCATTCATTAGTTGATGGGCATTTAGGTTATTTCCACTTCTTGGTTATTATGAATAATGCTGTATGAACCTTTTTATACAAGTTTTTGTGTACATAATTTTTCAATTCTCTTGGATATATACCTAAGAAAAGAATTGCTGGGAATAACAATATACTCTAGTTGCAAATTGAAGATGCTTGAAAATGCCAGAGAATTCAGCTAATCATACTTATTTTTCCATCTAATTCATAAATGATTCCTTTATAACTTTGTTTCTCTGAATGGCAGTTAAAACTTCCCCTAGGGGGAAGTGTGGACATTGTGGAAATTTTCTCACAGATCTAAAGAGATCAGAAGAGCTGAAAAGCAACAGTCAGAGTCACCACTGTAGTTTCTATTTTAAACTCACTGTCATTTATTGCAATTTTCTTAAGCATTTTTTCCCAAGCTAAATAAAGGATTATAGATTAGATAGATGGATAATCTTTGGATTAAAAAGTATTTTTTAAAAATACAGAATTATTCTTCTAGTAGTAAAAAAAAAATTTGTATTGCCATATAAAAACAGTATACCTATACCTTTCTTGTCTTAAGGATACTGATAATGCCTTAGCATGTAGTAAGTGTCCAATATTTATATGTTGAATTAATATAAAAGTTTTAAAGTTTTCTTATTTATTTAAATTATGAAAGTACTTTTTATTTTATTTCTTTTATTTTTTTTGAGGAAGATTAGCCCTGAGCTAACTGCTGCCAATCCCCCTTTTTGCTGAGGAATACTGGCCCTGAGCTAACATCCGTGCCCACCTTCCTCTCCTTTTATACATGGGATGCCTATCACAGCATGGCTTGCCAAGCGGTGCCATGTCCTCACCCGGGATCAAACCAGTGAACCCTGGGCCACCGAAGCAGAACATGTGCACTTGACCACTATGCCACCGGGCCGGCCCCTACTTTTGATTTTAAAATGTTCTCTTTAAGTTCAACTGGGTTCTTGGATACCTGGAATTGTTTTCCTTTGTTTTTTGTTTGTTTTTTTGGGTGAGGAAGATTGGCCCTGAGCTAACATCTGTTGCCAATTTTTCTCTTTTTGCTTGAGGAAGATTGTTTCTGAGCTAATATCTGTACCCATCTTCCTCTACTTTGTATGTGGGACGCTGCCACAACATGGCTTGATGAGTGGTGTGTAGGTCTGCACCTGGGATCCAAACCCGTGAACCCCGGGCTGTGGAAGCAGAGTGCACGAACTTAAACGCTACTCCACTGGCAGGCCCCTGGAACAGTTTTAAACTACTGTAGATCCCAGTAAGCTTAAGCGAATTGATAAAGATGTTTATTTTTCTTACAAGAAAAACCACAAGTTGCTTATGCTTTTTAATTAGGATGTTTTTAGGCAAGGTGTGTACTCTTCTCTTGTCACCGACCCACCACTCTGTTGTGTTACGTAAAACTACTTCACGTTTAGTTCATTTGCCTTGCCAGCTCTGAAAGCATCTGAGTTTGTGACCATACCTTATTTTTTGGCTCATCACTTCTGCCTATTATTAGCCTTTCTTGGGGCAAGGAGTCGAAAATGCTCTTGTTTGTTTTTAAGAAACTATTATTTAACTAGTTACGATGGATAAAATGAAATTAATATATGTGATTGGACTCAGTAAATGGCTTAGAAGTGACTACTCTGTCCTCATATTTCAAGAACTGTTTTACTTAACCTCACAGAGTTAAACATCACCCTTAATTTAATAACACAATGTTTATCCAATAATGTAGTGTATTGCCTATATATCTGGCTTTCATATGCATATATATTTTCCTCTGTTTATGGAGAAGTGTAGAGAAAAAATGTGATTTGTTACTTTAAAATAATTATTTATTTGAAGAGATGAGTTTTACAGATTAAATCTTTCAACCTTTTTAGCATATCCTTTTTTCTGTGATACTTAGTTCATAAAATTCATACACATTTTGGAGCTGGCAAGAATTTTAGAGATCACATTTCCCAGATGAGGAAGTCAACCCCGAGAGGCCAGATGACTTCACTGTGGTTAAAGAGCAAGCTTGCAAGGGAATTCTGAGGAGTCTTGTCTCTTATTCTCAGTGCCATTTTCCCCCAGTCCCCAATGATAGCTTGTGTTGCTAAATTTCCAAGACGAGGTCAAATTCTGTTAAAGTATATGTGCCTATTTCTTTGTGTAGTCTGGGCAATTAAGCATATTTGAAATATTTTGAGTCATTTATGAATATGTAACTATAAACATAATTTGATGGTGTTAACTAGAAAACTTCAAACATTAATGACAAAAACTGCCTTTTTTAAAAAAAATTATTTTTATTGAGGTCACATTGGCTTATAACACTGTAAATTTCAGGTGTATATTATTATATTTCACTGTCTGTGTGGACTGCATTGTGTTCACCACCAATAGTCTAGGTTTTATCTGTCACCACACGTGTGCCCCTTTATCCCCCATCCCCGTCCCCTCTGATAACCACCAATCTGTTCTCCTTACCTATGTGTTTATCTTCTACATATGAATGAAATCATATGGTATTTGTCTTTCTCTGTCTGACTTATTAAGCTTAGCACAATACCCTCCAGGTCCATCCATGTCACAAATGGCACATTTTTTCTTTTTTTTTTTAAATGCTATTTTTTTTTAAAGATTGTCACCTAAGCTAACATCTGTTGCTGATGTTTTCTTTTCTTCTTCTTCTTCTCCCCAAAGCCCCCCAGTACGTAGTTGTACATTCTAGTTGTGAGCACCTCTGGTTGTGCTATGTGGGATGCTGCCTCAGCTTGGGCTAATGAGTGGTGCCATTTCCACATCCGGGATCTGAACTGGCAAAACCCCAGGCTGCCAAAGCGGACGAACTTAACCACTGGGCCATGAGGCCGGCCCCCTCCAAAAAAAACCCGCTATTTTTTTAAAAAGGGAATTAACGTGTACCCATCAGAATTAAAATGTACTCGTCATTAATTTAATAAAATGTATTCCAGCCTTACTCTCCAAAACTGTAACGCCACATCTGAACTTTTAGATAAACGTTATAAATTTAAGATTTTTCCAAGTAAAAAAATTACTGCCCAAAATATGTGAAATTATATCATTGTAAAAGGAAAAGAAGAGAGAGAGAGATGAAAGAAGGGGGAAGGAAGAAGAAAGGAAGAAAAACCCCTGTAGATTTATTGAGGAGGAAAATTTGTAATAACATACAGAAGCTTTGCAATCATTTACAAATATAGTAATCCCTCCAAAACTAAAAATTGATTGGTACATCTTCTCTGTAGCTTTTAGAATTTTGGTTTGTCTGAATGTAGTTCATGAGCCATTTTTATAGAGAGAATTTTAAAAAGAGGAAACTGGAGGATGAAAAAAGAACGGGAAAGTAAAGCAAATGGCAGAGGCAAGTGAGAAGTTTTGGATGCAGGCTTAACCATGAGAAATAAAACCAAAGGCAGAGAACTCTACTCCTGTTTCTGTTAAAGGGATGACCTTGAGATGAAGTAAAAACTCTGGACAGGAAGTACTATTGTGACATTAAGTTATAATGGGAGGTTCTGTATTAGAGAAGAGCTTGAGAAATATTTAGTTATGTTTATCTAATAGGTTAAATGTTGCACAGTATTTTTAATCTCAAACATGTATTTTGCATTTATTGAGCTTTGAGGATATGTAGATTAATGTTTTTCAATAAATTTGGGAAGTTTTCAGCCATTATTTCTTCAAATAATTTTTCTTTTCCTTGGTTTCTCTTCTCCCCTTCTGGTACTCTCCTCTTCTAGAACTCCAGTTTTGCATATATTGATGCGCTTAATGGTGTTCCACATTTCTCTGAGGCTCTGTTCATTTTCTTCATTCTTTTTTCTTTCTATTTTTTGGACTGCATAATCTTTATCAATCTATCTTCAAGTTTGCCAATTCTTTTTTCTCCTGGTTCAAATCTGTTGTTGAGCCCCTCTAGTGAATTGATGGTTTCAGTTATTGTCCTTTAAGCTCTAGAGTTTCCATTTGTTTCTTTATTGGTATTCTCTATTTCATAAGACATTGTCATATCCTCCCTTACTTAGTTAAGCATGGTTTCCTTTTGTTCTTTGAACATATTTATGATGGTTACTTTGAAGTTTTTGTCTGTGAAATCCAACATCTGTTTGCTTCACAGGCAGTTTCTTTTGCCTCTTGTTTTCTGGTGTATAGGTCGTACTTTCTCTTCCTTTGTATGTCTTGTAATTTTTTTTTAATATTAAGCATTTTAGATAATATAGCAACTGAAAGTACTGGTCCCCACCCCCTTGTAGGACTTGTTATTGTTATTTACTTGTGTAATGACTGGCTGAATTATTTTAGTGAAGTCTATTTTCCCCCTGTAATGTGAAGCCTCTGATGTTGCCCTTCAGAGGATGCAACCTTCAGTCAGCTCAGTCACCCTGGGATGACAGTGGTTT